TGTACCTACTTTGCATAAGCAAATTATTGTGTCTAGGAGTTAGCTTTCTCATTTGATGTCTTGCAGGGGTTTTCCAAGTCTTTTGTGTTTAGATGGTTGCATCTCTGATGAGATGAGGAAAATTTTCTTGGATAACCTCATGGAATGTTTGTTCCATGGTGGTCTCTGTCTCCCTTTCTTCCTCAGAAATGCTGATTAGCTGTAAGTTCAGCATCTTAATAAAATCACACATCTTTTGGAGGCTTTGTTCCATTTTTTAAAGCTTCCTTTCTATGTGCTTACCGGTTTGGGTTAGTTCCATGTTTCAGTCTCCAAGTTCTGAGATTCCTTCTACTGCTTGATTAATTCTGCTTTCTATGCTTATCAGTTTGTTATTTATTTCATTTTCTGTATTCTTTTTTTTTTTTTTTGCCATCATCTCAGTTACCAACTCTTTCATTCTTTCTTCTTGTCTTTCTTCATTTTTATTCAGCCTTTCCATCAATACCTTTATATCTGGATTTGAGACCAGTTGTTCTGAGAACTCTTCATTATTTGAGTTCTGAAGTCTGTATTCTCAGGCACTGTCTTTCCAGGAATCTGCAGGGTACCTGTGTTCTTCTGTTGATTCTTCTTCATTTGTGATGAATTCCCCCCCACTTTTTTTCCTCCTCTTTAATTCCGTTGCTCAGTGATGGGGGGTTAGCCTTCACTACTGTTTGCTCAAACATCTTTCTTCCTTAGATAGAGCTTCTGGATTTATTCAGTGTTGAAGGTAGGCTGGGAGTGGGAGGCTGTGCTGACTTTTTGCAGGTTTGAGATTTGATTAAGGTATAATGAGGGGAGCTACAGTTCAGAAGCTACCTGCAGAATGCAGTATCCACTGATGGGTATGGGCCTCTGGAACCTACTTCCCACCACCTTATAATATGTCCATGCAGTGGGAGTGTATGCATACACTTTGAAACCAAAATGTGATAAAAGGAAGGGTAAGAACAGAGAAAGAAAGGAGGGAGAAGAAACAAATATGAAGAGAAAGAAGAAGATGAAGGAAATCAGACAGGCAAGCAGATGAACAGATAAATAAATACACAAAATGCAAAAAAAAGAAGAAGATACACTCACCCTCAAACATACCCATATAAAAAAAAAAAAAAAGAGGGAGAAAAAGGGGCAAATCAAATCAGAAAACACACAGAGAAAAATATGTATGGAGAGAGCAAGGAAAGAAAGAAAGAGAGAGAGAGAGAGAGAGAGAGAAAGAAAGAAAGAAAGAAAGAAAGAAGGAAAGAAAGAAAGAAAGAAAGAAAAGAAAAGAAAAGAAAAGAAAAGAAAAGAAAAGAAAAAGAAAAAAAAACTCTCCCTTTTGTTGCCATTTCTGAAACATCAGTTTTCTCTTCCTTCCTTCCTTCTTCCCTCCCTCCCTCTCTCCCTCACTCTCTTTCTTTCTTTCTTTTTTCTGGCATGTCCCAATCACTGCTACTTTTGGCTCCCCGTGGTAGGGAGTAGGCTCTGGTCTTTAGACCCTCCCCTCTGCTCTCAGTGCGGGCCAATCAGACTGCTCTCCCCGTGAGTCAGACACCTCATGGACTGCTGGGTGAATGGGGATTAATCAGAGCAGGCATGCCCCCGACTCATCTGCTAGATCTCCCAATTCCAATTGCATGTGTTTGTGATTGGTCCAGTGTGGGGATTGGGCATTGGTCTCTCCAATATCATGCACTTGAAGTATCCTCTCTAGGCCAATGATGGCCACCCAGAGGAGTGCAGAGATCACCCTCAGTCTCAGGGTACAGGCTTCTCAGTATTGGGAGAGCTCAAGTGGGCTTCTGCCCAGCTTCTGGGATAGAGAAAATGTCTTTGTCCTGCTCTTCTCCTCCATGGGGCTCAGCTCCAGATTTCCTCCCTGTGCTTTCTCCATGATCCCGCTGCCAGTACCTGGTCTGTTGCCACAGGTAGTGCTGTGGACCAGGTGCCAGGTGCCGAGAGGCAGCTGATCTCTGCCACCTTTCCCAAGAGATGCCCTTCAAGTGGCAGATGTTCTTGCATGTGCGGTGGTTGCCAAATTCAGAGCAGTGGTAAATTGCAGCCACTTTTGCATGGGAGCCCCAGGTGCTTGATCTCATGTCTCAATCAGATATTCACTCACCCACTTGCACACACACATGTGCAGATTCATTCTTATGGGCACTCACCTATGCAGAGACTCATAATTTGACCAGTTTTGTCATCATCTTGCAAACTATACCCCTGAGCACTTTTTTTCCTCCTTTCCCTCTCATTGCTCATATCCTTTTTATTCTACGAAGGGCTTTGCTTCTTGCAGGTCTTTCTCTTCCCATAATCAGTAGCCAGGTTTGCAGACAGTTTCCTTGTTGCTTTATGAGTTGATTTTTTACTTAGAAATCCTCATGTCTGGGGCTGATTTGTAATCTGAATTTGTAATCTGAACAGATTATAGTTCAGTTCTCCTTGAAGCCCTCACCAGGTTTCAAAGAGAGTTCTTGTTATTTGCTTGCTTTAGTAAATAGACATTGAAGGACCACAGATCTGTTCTGACTCCTCACCCTAGAGGCTGAGGGGCACATGGATGAGGAGGCAAAGAGACCAAGAGATGACTTTCAAGGTGTCCCAGGATGATGCTGTTTTTCTGAGGGCAGTGATGCGTGGTGGTCCTTGCTAGTGGTTTCAGAAGCACCTCCTTTCATTGGCTCCTGGAGTCATTTCACTCTCATTAACGACAGCTGTCGGCAGCTTGTCCTGTTGAAGCCTTTCATGCTCCCTCCCACTGGCAGTGACTTCCAGGGTCCTTGATACATCTCCAACATGTCTACTGTAATAATGTGCTATGGTTAAAAGTCTCTGGAGGATCAGATCAGCCTGATTTACAATCCCATCTATCACTTCCTAGCTATTGTACTTTGGACTTGTTGCCTGATCTCTCTGAGTCTCAGTTTTCTCATCTGTAAGATAGGGATGATAACATCTGTCTTATAAATTTGTTGTGAATATTAAATGAAATGCTAATATGTGCCTGGCAGATAGTTACCATTATTATCCCAACATGTACTGGTAGCTTGGCAGTTTGATGTTAATTTTAGCACTTCCTATAAAAAATTTTTTAAAAAATGCTTGCTCTTAAAACAGTTGCTCTTTTTCTTTTAAGCAGTTTATTTGAAGCTTCCCACAGGCAGGCTCCACCCAGCGTCATATACCCTTAAGTTCTTTTTCCTATGCCTCCATGAATGCCACCAGCTTCTATAGCTGCCTTGGCAACAGCCAACTCTCATTTGCCCTAAAGGCTTCTTTCCGGGACTTGTCTTGCAGAGCTCAGTACAACCTTAAGGTTTTGCCGGAACTAATAAGCACTTAGCAAAAAATCTCATGTGTGCCTGAATATTTTGCTGTTGACATATTAGCAGTGCCTTGTCCCCCCTGGAGTACAGAGGCACCTAAATAAGTAGGTCTCCCAAGAAAGCTCAAACTAGATATAGAAACTAAATTCTAATGGAAAGTCTGGGTAACAATTTTGTGCAATCATTGTTGTTATGCAACCATGCTTAAACAATAACTGTCATTTTCAAGCAAAATAGAAAAGTTTCTGCCTTCAGGGCTCATGACCTTTTAGAGACAAGACAAGTGCAAACAAAACCATGTGCAATGTTATTTTCGTGAATATGATTTTTAAAATGTGCATGTGACTTGGGTGTGGCATGACTCACTGTGTAACACAAAAAATACTGGATCTACAAATTGGACTCCTTGACTGCCCATTCAGACCTCTACCTGTGAGGCATCCTTTCGTCCTTTGGCTGCTTAGGTTTTCCTACAGAAAAGAGAAAAACTTTGGAGAAAATGGAAAAGGAAAGCACTAGGGGAAAATAGCAGAACTGACTTCATCTAAATATGCACGTCTAGAAAGAGCAAGCGAGGGTTTCAAAATGCAGTGCCTGTGTTTGTGTAGTTAAGAGTAAAGGGACTTAGAACTCTAAGGCAGCTGAAATCTTGGAAATTTAGGGGCACACCAGGGCTTTTTAATCAGTTGAATGGGTGACTCAAAGAATGCTGAAAACAAAAATAAAAAAAACAGAACCCTGTATCTGATGGCAACACCCACAGCCAACCAAAACCAAGTACAAGGCTCCATTCGGTCTGAATGTAGGATCTCTGGAAGATTAGGAGGTACTTAGCTCATTCTGAGCTGGTCTCCAGGTTCTTGGGCCGAAGTGGGCAAGTGTTGCGAAGAGAGCTTAGAGAACCGACAATGGGTGGAACATACGCGCAAGGATCATCTTCCCACATCAGGACCAATGGCACTGCCCATTCAATTTAACTGGTTTCTAGTTTTCCTCTCCTAATGTGAGCAGTGCCACAGAAGCACATCACTAACAATGTTTTTTTTTTCTTTTCTATTCCAAATTCTAATAATAAAATTGTTATTAGAATTGGGTCTTAATGGCTGAAATAAAAATATTCGGTGTTGACCCTACTCTGTGCCCATGCTCTGCTCAACACTGTGTGTATATATAGATGGAGATACTGTCTCTCACCTCCAGCAGGGATGGGTAGAGAAAACATCTTGAGGTGGAAGAGAGGGAAACTGAAAGCCTTGACTTATTTCTTATTTCTAGGTTGGGGGGGGAAGAGGGAGGAGGAACAGGGACAAGGTGAAGCCTGGAATAGAGCAAACGAGTTTCAAAACATTGCTCTGCACTCAGGGCAAGGAAAACAAAAGCGAGTTAAAAACAAGCCAAAAAAAAAAAAAAACCAGATTAGAAAGCCCTATGGTTCTTGGAGTAAATGGTTATCGCATGTTTGTTGTTACCATTGACAACATTGTTATCATCACTATTGTCATCATCTCCAGAACAAATTAGACTCGAACCACATAACCTTCACATAATTGAGAAGAATATTCCTTGGATAATCTGATCACTGTTTATCCCAGTTTTGTGCTTGTGGCAGGATGTTGCGGGGTGCTTTTCTTGATCGCATCCTTCCTCTCGTTTGTGTTTGTGTAGGTTGAGCCAGTGATCCAGAGAGGCCACGAGAGTCTGGTCCACCACATCCTGCTTTATCAGTGCAGCAACAACTTCAACGACAGTGTTCTGGACTCTGGCCACGAGTGCTACCACCCGAACATGCCCGATGCGTTCCTCACCTGTGAAACTGTGATTTTTGCCTGGGCCATTGGTGGAGAGGTGGGGCTGGTGATAAACCGAGATGTGACACAGTTAATTGGTCACGTTTCCCCTCACAAATAGGCTTCTTCTTCTTTTTTTTTTTTTTTTTTGAGTTGGAGTCTCACTCTGTCTCCCAGACTTGAGTGCAGTGGCCGCTCCTGGCCACCGCAGCCTCGACCTGCTGGGCTCAGGCGATCCTTCCATCTCAGCCTTCCAAGTAGCTGGAACTACAGGCGCACGCTCCCACGCCCAGCTAACTGTTGATTTATTGTAGAGATGAGGTCTCACCAAGTTGCCCAGGCGGGCCGCGAACCCGCGGGCTCAGGCAATCCACTCACTTCAGCCTCCCAGAGGTGTGGGATTACAGGCTGAGCCACTGAGCCCGGCTACAAATAGGATTCTAACGCGTATAAGGGAAGCTCAACACACTACATTTGATGTGAGGGTGGCTTATTTCCATTTGCTTAGAGTTTCTTTCCTTAAGCCATTTTTAGTTAATTTCATCAGTTATAGATTAGTAGTTTCCAGAAAGTTAAAATATCTTTGAAAGGCCAGCCATGGTGGCTCATGCCTATAATCCTAGTGCTTTGAGAAGGCCAGGAGGAAGGATTGCTTGAGGTCAGGGGTTTGGGCAGCATAACGAGACCCTGTCTAAAACAAACAAACAAAACTAAAACAAAACAAGCTTTTTTTTTTTTTTTTTTTAAATGGTTGGTTTTGAGTCCAGTAGAACTCTCAGGAACTTTCACAGGACACTATCTCATGGACTTTTCCGTATTTAGGGTTTTTCCTATCCACCTCATGTTGGATTATCCCTTGGCACTCCGTTCGACCCACATTATGTGCTCTTAGAAGTCCATTATGACAATCCTACATATGAAGAAGGTGAGTTTACTCTTTATATGTTTTACCTGTGATTTTTAAAAAAAGCTAACTAGTAATCTTTGTCTTTAACAGAATTGAAACAAAATAGCAGCTGATGTTGGAAAGAATTAATTTTTACATTTATCATTCAAATTAGGATACTGAAAAAGGAAATACTATTAATATTTATAATTGCCCTGCAACAACAGGATAATTAACCCCTACCAAACCAGGCACATGAACTCTAATCTTAAAAACCCATTTGCATACTACCTACCAGGAAGTAGAATAGTTGACTTTTTTCCTTGGTGATATAATTAGTTCCAGATACATGGTGCTTATGAGACATTTTAATTCTTACTGCATATATGAAAAAACTATCATTTATTACACTAAAAGTATTAGACATTTTGTTGTGTGATAGGCACATCATACATATACTTAAGAAAGGTTAGCCGGGCTCGGTGGCTCAGCCTGTAATCCCACGCCTTTGGGAGGCTGAGGTGAGTGGATTGCCTGAGCCCACGGGTTCAAGACCCGCCTGGGCAGACGAGACCTCATCTTTACAATAAATCAAAAAAATTAGCTGGGCGTGGTGGCACGCGCCTGTAATTCCAGATACTTGGAAGGCTGAGGCGGAAGGATCGCCGGAGTCCAGCGGGTCGAGGCTGCGGTGGCCAGGAGCGGCCACTGCACTCCAGTCTGGGTGACAGAGTGAGACTCCAACTCAAAAAAAAGAAAAAGAAATGTTTATGCAGTGACACTGTCACAAAATATTGAAGTAAAGGGTGTAACAATGTATATTTGATATGTGAATTTACCTCTGTAATATTAAAAACCCATATTGATAGATTCAACATGAAATTATCAGCAGAAGCGACTCTAGGCTTTTATTTAACCTTGGTTTGTGCAGTTATTCAGCAAATACTGAGCACAACTATGTGCTGACGCTGTGCTCAAGGATGTAATGGGAGTGAAAAACAGATACTATTCCCACCCTCGTGGAAATTATAGTTCAGAGGAAAAGAGAAGTAATCAAATAATAGTGCGAATAGCATAAAACTACATACAGATTCCAGCTGATTAAATAGAGAGGAACCTGACTATCATAATATTTAACTGGTGACCTAATCTAGTCAGAGATGTGTGGTGGAGGGAATGGTCTAGATTATGTCTTCACTGAGGAATCAAACTCCTCTTCTGGGAGACTGGAGGTGCTGAAGGGTCAGGGTGGAGGAAAAAAGATGCTGATGAGTCTGGAAAGGAAGGAACCAGGCAACCTGAGGCCCTGTAGACCACGTTAAGGGCTAAAGTCAATGGGAAGCCATTGAAGAGTTTGGCGCAGTAGAATTAAATACCAAGATTTGTGTTTTGAAATGACCACTCTGGCTGGTGCAGCTTAAAAAAATAGATTATAAAGAAAGGTAATGTGGTTTGATATTTAACAAGTGATGCTTCTATATAAGTTTCAAGCTATTATGTTTATGAATAAGCCAGAAAATTATTGTCTTTTCTTGCCTGAATGCATGTGAAATACCTTCCCTGAATTCACTTTGATTTTCACTCACAAATCATATCCTATTTTCTGAACCATGAATCCATAAGAATGAAAGTTCAAAAACTTTCATAAAACCAAATGTTATGAAATAACATATTAAATTCTAAGATAGATTTCCTGCAAAATTATGTCTATAAGCATAAATTATCATTTGCAATAATAATAGAAATAATTCTTAAATATGTCATATTGCAATTTTTATTTTTCAAAAATTTTCACATCTTTGATTTAATGTTATTCAGAGAATAAATCTTTCATATAATGTATAATACTACTTCAATTAGAAATTCAGTGTGGACAGGGTGCAGTGGCTCATACCTGTAATCCCAGCACTTTGAGAGGCTGAGAAGGGAGGATTGCTTGAGCCCAGGAGTTTGTGACCAGCCTGAGCAGCATAGTGAGACCTAATCCCTATAAAATAAATAAATAAAATAAAAATTAAACTAAAAAAATTTTTAAAAGCTGGGCTAGGAATAAAAGGAAGAAATTCAATGTGAATTCATACTTCTTCCTTTTATAGTCTTATGAAGTGGAAGATGTGATTCATTTACCTTGTATGTTTCCAATTAATCTGAATTTCTTATAGTTTCAATGTAAAAATTGAATGGAAGCTTATTTTTTTAATAGTTTAATGGGTTTCTAGTACTCTCTATTCTTATTCGTGTTCACAATTAGAGCAAATTTTAGATTATGGTAATTTTGCCTTGATAAACATATTGTAATATGAATTTAGGTTTCCAGAAAACTGTTGTTAAATAATAATATTATATTTACTTGATAAGGTATTGCTTTGTTTACTAGATAATGTAATTAATGGTTCAAACAGCTAGTGCAATTAATGGACCTAACTCAGTATATGGAAGTGGAATTCCTGCTTACCATTTTTCCCTCTATAGAGCTGTTATGGTAGAAGGAGTTAGATCACAAAAATATTAAATACAAAACACAACTTTTCAAGATATTTCCAAAAAATATTCTAGGGTCAGCGTAGATGCATGTTCTTTTTTGTCTACACTGGAATAACATAAAAGGAAAATAGATTTTCTTTTTTTCCTCTTTATTTTAAAGATGTGGGGTACAATTCAGGGTTAGGCATACAAATGTTCATTATGCAGGTGCCCTTGTGGATGAGGTGTGCCTCTCCCTCCCCTGGCAGTTTCCCTCAATTGCCAATCCCCTTGGAAGTTTCCCACTACTGCCAATCACTTTCTTATAGTATTATTATAGTTTCTCAAGGTCCACTGATAAGTGAGAACATGTGGTACTCTGTTCTTTGTTTCTGGGATAGATCACTCAGTCTGATCGACTCTAAATCCATCCAAGTTGCTGCTAAGTCCAGATGTTTGCCCTTCTTTATTGCTGCATAATATTCCATTGTGTATATGTACCACATTTTTAAAATCCAGTCCAGCTTCAGTGGGCAGCATGGTTGGTTCCATGTTTTTGCTGTTGTGAATAAAGCTGCAACAAGCATGCATGTGCAGGTATCTTTATGGTAGAATGACTTGAGTTCCCCCGGGTATATTCCCAATAGGACATTGCTGGGTTAAATGGAAGTATTTCTAGTTCTTTCAGAAATTGCCACACTGTCCTCCAAAGAGGCTGCACTAGTTTGTGTTCCCACCAGTACTGTGGAAGCATTCATTTTTCTCCACATCCTCACCAGCATTTGTAGTTGTTTGCTTTATTCATGACAGCTGTTTTTATTTGTTTAACAATCAAGTTCCTGGTATACAAAGAGGGACTCCCCAAAAACCCAAAATTTATTTATAAAATAGTGTGTATGTATTTTCACATGTTTGAACTTCAAAGTACTCTTTGTTTGATGTAATACACCTATCAAGACACTTTTTCCACTGCTCAAAATAGTTTTGAACTCATCAGTTTTTATGCCTTTTAGTGCTTTTGCCATTTGTGTGTGTGGGGGGGTGTATGTGACCCCTTTCATATTGTTCAAAGTTTCCCTTTGAGGAGTTCTTCATCTGAGAAAACAAAAAAATCTCTCGGGATGAAATTGGGTGAATAGGGATGGTGGAGCATAGGAGCCATGCTGGTTTTGGTCAAAAACTGCTAAACACTGTGCATTGTGGGCAGGTGCACTTGTAAATCACCCATCGTGAAATATGCAAACACTTGCCTCTTAGGGGAAGTCGGTACTACAAGGGCCCACCCACCAAAAGATAATTCTGGGTTTTAGGGATCCCCCTCATATATGTGACCACCAAGCAGTAGAACTACAGAGATGGAAAGAAACACTTTTTGGTCTCCGGAAGTTTTGACCTAGCTGCCATTTATTTAGCACTTTATTTATGCCAAGCACTGTTCTAAGGACTTTGTGTTTAAGCTTCACATCAACCTTATGAGGTAGTAGTACTACTATGATGGACATTTTCCAGGCTGGGAAACTGAGGTACAAAGGGATTAGGCGAACTTGATGCCTTGAGCCTGTTTTGTGCTGCCATAACAGAAAACCACAGACTGAGTCATTTTTAATGAATAGAAATTTATCCCTCATGGTTCTAGAGGCTGGGACATCCAAGATCAAAGTACTGGCATCTGGCAAGGGTCTTCTTGCTGCATCATAACATGACAGAAGGCATCGCATAGTAGATAGGCAAACAGAGCAAGAAGGGGCAAACTCACTTCCAAAATAATGGCATGAACCCATTCATGACCTAAACACCTCTTAAAAAATCTCACCACTCAATACCATCACAATGGCAATTCAATTTCAACAAACATTCAAAGCTACTTTTGGAGTAGGTTTTAGACATTGAAACCATAGCATTCACCAAAAGTCATATGACTCATAAGCAGCAGACTTGGAATTTGCAGGATAGTCAGCCAGAGGTAGTGTTATTAATTGTCACTCTGCAATGCATTCTGGTGAACATCTAAGCAAGCTTGAGGCAACAAACAAATACTAAATTATTGTATGTTCACCATAAAGAAGGAACTCACTAAGCAGGAAAGGAAGCTTGGATTTTTCAAGACTGTTAAGGAAGTTGAGAGATAATATTTTCTGGAATAATTAAGATACTTAATTTTAACATTTTATTGTGCCTTAAAACATTAAAAGTAATGGATACTTTCTAAGTGTGTGTGTGTGTGTGTGTGTGTGTGTGTGTGTGTATAAATGAGGGGTATATAATATATATTAAAAGATATTTCCTGTAAAGACCTTGGTGTTTAGCCGGGCTCGGTGGCTCAGCCTGTAATCCCGCGCCTTTGGGAGGCTGAGGTG